CGCCCGGGGCGCGCCGCGAGGGCTGGGGTCTGGCGGGCGGGTGAGCACGGGCCGGTGGGCGCAGGGCCGTTCGTTCCTGGCGAAGTAGGTGGCCGTGTATATTTTTGTTCAAGTGGTGTTTATGTTAATGAAAAAGGATGGAATTACAAACAGCCCGCCGATCGTGCGGCGGCCGCCGGGGACTCGCTGCGCTCGCGTCCGACGCGCTAAGGGCGCGCGCTCGGCGGCTCCGGGGTCCTCCGCAGAAACCCCCTCCCCGGCCTCCAACTGGGAGACAGCGTCTGGCCCCGTCGCCTCCGCCTCCCGCTCCCCGTCCGGATCTCTGGGTTTGCAAGCAGCCCTCCCCGCAGAAGTGCAGGCAGGTTTCTGGGTGGAACCGCACTCATTTACACCCCTCGGCCCCTTTTCTAAAGGGCCCAGCAGCTCTTCCGGGACCCTCCGCTGGGGCGGTCATTACATTGCTCCCCCCGCCCTTGCCCGGAGCTGGCCTCTTCCCATAGCTTTTTAAAATTTTAATTGTGGTTTGGGTGAAAGCTTACAAAGCAAATTCATTTTTCTTCTAGTTGCTTTCATTCTTCTTTTCTTGCCTCCCCCCCATTTTTTAAAAAATAATTTGCCCGGGCTTTTGGCGTTCGCTTCCTAACCAGCTGCCTTTTTGGGGAGGAGAAAGCTGTTCGGCTTTGTAAAGGCGCCTCCAATTTTCCCCAAGAGAACCTTATTTTCCTCTCCAGCTCCCCGCACCCACCGCCCTCCTTTGTTCTGTGGGTGGGAGAGGTGACGGGCGCCCGCCAGTGTTTGCCTCCTCTTTTTTAGTTTAATGAGCACCTAGAGGTGGAAAGCGCGCCGGTAACCGCCAGGAGCGAGTCTGGCTGCGCGCGCGGTCGCAGTGACCGTGGCGTGGATGGGCCTGCCTTGATAGGGGGCTGACCCGGGCACCGCCGTGCGTGGCCATCACAGCACAGGGCCCCCCCCACGTCCTTCCCTCATGGAAACGCGCCCCCCTCCCCTTCTGACAAACGCTGCGGCTGCGTCTCCACCGACCCGCAAAGTGAAACCGGGACTTGAAGGCTGTTGGCTGCGTGGAGAGAATCCAGGGCCTTGTTTAATCTCCTCCTGGGGAAACGGGACTCGGGGGCAACAGGAGTTATGGCCACACATTTCCACGCTCTTGGCCACACGCGGCTGGTGTAGACACTGCGCTCTGCCTGTTCCGATCGGTTCTGCACTGCTGGCATGGGTGCTAAGGGCCCCCAGCTACCTGGAAAGTGAAGGTCGCGTGGGGACAGCACCCTGCCAGGGCCTCGAACCTGGGGAGCTGGGGCTGCTAGTCCCTCTGGGGCCACAATGCCGGCTTTCCAATCCCCGCAGCCCCCTTCCCTGCTAAGCAGACCACATTAATTAGACCCCTCTGAAGGCAGGGCTCACCCTGACTCCACTGTGGGCTTGGTCCTGCAGTGGCAAAGACATGAACTGAGCCCAAGCAACTGTGTCCTCTCCCAGAAGAGGCAGACGGAGGGGGACCTGTGCCCCCACAGTCAGCCTCTGAACGTTCTCTCCTCCAGAGAGATACCTGCCCCTTTGGCCCTCACTCAGTGTACACAGCAAAGAAACACGTGGGCGTGTGGGGGCTGACGCCAGCATTGAGCCTCCCCTCTCTTCTGCCACCTCAGGGCCCATGGAACACTGACAGCGGGTGGGCCCCGGGGCTGGGGTCCCGGAGCCTGCACAGGCTTTCCAGTCTAGGGGAGCCGAGTCAGGGGAGCTTTTGCGAGGGGTGCTTTTAACTCATGACCAAAGAATTTTTGGGGGTGTGTGCAAAACTGGATGAATGGGTGTGTTTTGGGAATGGCAGTGCCATAGCTTTCCCTGGATACTGAAGGACCCTAAAAGCCCCCAAATGAGGAGCTATCAAGATTGAAGAAACTGGGCCTAAGCCACAGCAAGGGGCTCCCCTTCTCTCCAAGAGCCGTTCATCTGAGCCTGTGAGTGCAGCTGACACTCCTTGACGTGTTTTGTAGCTTGACATTGAGCAGTGGAGAGAAAAACCCCAGACAAGACGGCTGCGCTGGCGAGCTTGGCACCTTCCCCGGCTGTGGCAGAGTCCGCCCCCTTCTTCCCAGCCGGGCCTGAGCTTCCTGCAGAGTGCTTGGGGCACTGGCCTGAGGGCAGCAGCCCCTGCATGCACTCCCTGGTCCACCATTTCTGTCAGTGCGTGGTGGCTTCTCTAAATAGCCTTTGGCAGGTGCCCCTGGCCAGGCCCCATAGCGGCTCCCCTCATTCCCTCGCCTGCCCTGGAAGACACAGGAGGTTTGTACTAACGCCTCACGCTGGGTGATCAGCCGTGTGCCCAGGTAGCGGCCTTTCCTCCTGCCTGTGGCTTGAGAACCTCGGGAGACAGATGGTGGCAGCCTGCCTCCGTACAGATGGACAGCCTTAGAACCCCTGTGGGGGCAACTCGACTCTGTCCTGTAGGGTCGCGGTGAGTCGGGATTGTCTCCGCAGCAGTGGGTTTGGTTCACAAAGAAGGGGCCAGGAGACGGGATCGGGGTAGTCCCCCAGGACCGATCTGCCATGATCTACACACACGCGGAGCCTTCAGGGCAGCCCTGGTGGCCCACCCCACCGCGGCTGGCTCCTGCGCCCTCGCCTGCCCGGGAGCTGCGTTCTCCTCCAGCTCCTCCCGCACCACTCTCCCTGGGCCAGCGGATGCCAGATGCCGAGGCTGCCTGAGATCTGGCGGGCCCCTTCGTCGCATCCCAGCCGTTTCTTCCATCCTGCAATTAAATCCGAGGCCAAATATCTCCTCAAGGGCGATCAGGACAGAGGCTCGTCACGGCGTATATTTAGCCATAAACTACGGGTTGGAGTGAGGAGGAGATGAAAATTACCGTGTTCGGGGAATGAATCCTTTTAGCAGAAACCAGAGCTGCTATTTACCACGGAGGGCTAAGTACAGGCTCTGGCTGCCAGGCGACCCCAGGCGAGGTGAGCGGCCTGCCAGGCCCCTTCCGGCTTTGCCTGCGTGCCGCCTCCCAGCCCAGGCGTGTTTCAGTGCCGCTTACTGAGGCCCTGAAGGTACCACCTCCGGGGAGCAGCATCACGCCCGGCTGCAAAAGGCTGTACGTAGATGTCTGGTCTGAGCTCACGAACTCGGGGCTTCCCATGGCCTGCGTGCCTGGGCTGTCGTGGGGTAACCTTCGGCAGGGTTGACAGAGTCCATGCTGCCCAGAAGCTGGACAGTCTGAAGGTTGGCTGGGTCACCACATCTGGCTTCAGAGTGGCTGTGTGGCCTTGGACAGGCTACCTAACCTCTCTGTGCCTCCGAAGCCTCATGTGTACAATGGGGGCAGTCTTATCTCCTCTCAGGTGAGAATGAAAGCAGACATGGGCCTGAAGGATGTAGCCCAGGACCCGAGCCATGGAGAAAGTCCACAGATGGTGGTTAAGAGAAAAATCGTAACACGACGGCATAACGATCTTGGGGGCTGCTATGAACGAGTGAAACACACATGTAAGGGAAGACGTGGAGTCCAGGGTCAGACAGACCCACGCTTTGGGCCCGGAGCAGCACCACCTCTGGCTTGGCTAACTTATTTCCCGTGTCCAGATCTTCAGGTCCCTGCTTGTGAACAGTGCCAGACCCAGGAGAGCCAGGATTAGCTGTGTCCAGTGCAGGGCTCCACATAAAGTATGATGCTCAAACATGATCTCACCCCCCCACTTCCCAACATCCTGGACATCAGGATGGTCCCGACCGGGACCAGGTGCTTTCAGCCTCCCCGGGGATGCTGCTCATCACCGTGGATGTGCTGGGGGGACGGGGACTGTGTGAGTCAGAACCTCCCCAAGCCTGGCCTCTCAGGAAATGACCAGGTCACCCACAGGCTACAAATATTTGTACAAATGAGAGGAGGGAGTCCCCAGTCTAAATGTTTGCCCAGGGCCTCTGAAGGGACAGATTAATCACTAGGCTAATGGGCCCCCTTGTGCAGGGCAGGTAGGTCCTAGAGGAAAGAGGTGGCAGTTCCCACCCTGCTGGCCATCCCCAAACACCAGATTCTCTGCCCCTCCCCCCCCAGGGATGGTCTGCCCAGAGATTCCGGGAGCTTCTGCAAGGTAGTGTGGGCAGGAAGAGGTGCCCCAGGCCCCTCTTGTTAAAAACCACACACGTGTGTACACGCCAACCCAACAACCAGATTTCCAACCACGTTTCCTCAGGGTAGCCTCCCCTGTCCTGGGTGCTGCTCTTTCCAGGCACCCCCTCCCTTCCTGCCGCACTGTCTGTCTGAAAACTGACAGCGAGGAGTCCGCGGGTCCTTCTGAAGTGAAGTTCTGACAGAGGCATGGAGGTCGGCAGTTTTTATCTCCACATATCGCACCCATTTCTGGAATTGTTTGAGGCCCTGGGAGGCTGGGCTGGCTGTTCAGGGCAGGGTTGAGGGGTACGATGGCAATGACAGTGTGACTTGAGTCCTGTGCTGTCACTCATAGCCGCATGACCTTGGGCAAGTCCCGCCCTATCTGGACCTCCATTTGTTTAGGGAGATGGATGTTAGCTTCCTAAAGGCTATGCCTCTGCCTCTAGCATTTGAGTCCTCACTTGGTTGGCTTACCTTATACTGATGCACCATCTCTATCATCACCATCTCTATCATCAGCAACTGCACCACCTCCACCTCCACCATCACCACCACCAACTCCACCACCTCCATCTCCTCCATCTCCACCATGACCACCACCAACTCCACCACCACCACCTCCAACCATCACCACCACCACCACCTCCATCTCGCATCATTACTGCCACCACCTCCACCATCACTACCACCACCAACTCCACCACTACCACCTCCATCTCCACCATCACCATCACCATCTCCACCACCACCACCTCCAACCACCACCACCACTACCACCTCCATCTCGCATCATTACCGCCACCACCTCCACCACTACCTCCATCATCACCACCACCACCATCACTACCACCACCAACTCCATCACTTCGTCTCCACTGTCACTACCGCCACCTCCATCTCCAACACACCCATCACCACTTCTGTCATCGCCACCTCCACTACCTCCACCATCACCACTACCTCCATCACCACAACCTTTACGAAGCACACACCAGGTGCTTCATAAACACTTAATCCTTGTAACAATCCATGGAGTAGGTATTATCATCCTCATTTTCTGGATGGGGAAATTGAGGTCTAGAAAGGTTAAGTAACTAGCCCCAGGCCCCACAGCTAGTAAGTGACATACTTCTAAATACTTTGCAAGCACTTGGCATGCCCTGTGCTAGCCTGGAGGGTGCATAGGGAGCTGGGCGGGGAATCTGCTCCAAGGTGACTCTGGGATGCAAAGTGTTGACTCCGTCCACACTTCTGGGGCACAAGGAGAAACTCAACAGGTTTAATCATGTGGGCTCACCACTTACAGTTCTCCCTCAGGGATGTTGCAAGATGTCGTTTCTGTTGGTTGATTAATATAAATATATACATACGTGTGGTTTATTGCTGCACAACACTGTGCATTAGGCCATGAGTTTCTTTGGCCTGCTTACTATATTTAGCCCAGGAATTCTAAGAGAAAGACGCAAGAAGCCAAGGTATAAACATGGTGCTGGGTAGATTCCACTCCTATTCCTTGGCTTCTGGTGGGTTCTAGCACTGACTCAGGCAAGCGGGATTGTGTCCGGGACAGGGACCCTGTCCCCAGGGCTGGCTTCCTTTAACAGTCCAGGTTGTTTTGGAGCTGGGGGTGGTGTGTCTCCGACCTGGGATGACAAATGCATTTGGTGTGACTGTTCCTTACAGCACAAGAAGTTGCAGTCCCAAACTTTGATTACCTTAGGGGCTTGTTTACTGTCTGGCCAGCGGGCTGTCCAATGAGGAGAGGATGAACAATGCTTCGATTGTGCGGGGCCTCGAAATTGTGCTTCTTGCACAAACTGAGTTCTTTCTGTTAAAAAGGGTGTTTTTTGTTTTCTCTTCAATCTTTTCTCCCCTCTCTAGTGCAACTGAAAGCTTTCCTTGTGTCAGGCTATCAGGCAGCGGGAGAACAAGCAGAAGGTCCAAGGGTCCTAGGCTGAGGCAGCCTTCTCCCTGCTGGGCTGGGATTCGGGTCGGTTTTCTGGGTCTCCCGGGAGTGTTGGGGCTGACCTGTAAGGAGACAGATGTCGTGACTACTGGCGCCTGCCCATAGACAGCCCTGGGCTCAGTCTGGAAAACAGGACAACAATGTTGTGAGCAACCAGTACCCGACTCCTTGAGCGCCGCTTGTACACCAGACACCACGTTTGACGGTTCCATCTCTTATCTCACTTGGTGCTCAGTAGAGCTCTGTGGGGGGGGCTCTGATTCCCATTTTGCAGATGAAGATGCTGAGGCCAGAGGGGTGACTTGGCCATGGCCACCCAATCGTGAGTGGTAGACCCAGGATTGGACCTGGGCACCTGGCTCCAGGTTTCCACCACTGACATTGAATGGATGATGTGGGGGAGGGGGAGACGGCAGCACACAGCAGGCGCAAAATCACAGCCCTCCCGAGCTATTATAGTTGTTTGGGGCCTGGGTGGGGGCAGGGTGTTAAAGTAAGCTGCTCCATTTACACTGTATTCATAGTGCTCTGGAAACACTGAAAGAGCTGTGGTGGCGCAGTGGTTAAAGCATTCGGCTGCTAACCAAAAGGTCGGCAGTTCAAACCCACAGCTGCTCTGCAAGAGAAAGATGAGGCTGTCAGCTTCCATAATGCCCTAGCTGGCCCAGCCCCGGCTGTCGGAGGCCTCCCAACTCAGGCACCAGACAGGAACATCAAGCCACCTTTGAGCTGACCCAGCCCCAACCTGACAGCGTCCACCTATGAGACCCCAGCCAGAGACCTCTGCCCACTTTCTCTCAAATTCCTGAAGCACAAAGACTATGAGAAATAATCAGAGATGGTTGTTTAAAGCCACTGCATCAGGGCATGGCTGTTACGCAGCAAGAAATAACCAGAGAAACCTGATTTACATTTTTAAAGTAAACGTTTCCCCGAAGTGTAACATACATAAAGAGATGCCTACGAATTAGCTCACTGTCTTTTCACAAAGGGAACGCACTCGTAAATAGCGCTCAGATCAAGATGTGGCACTTGCACCCCCCAAAGCCCTCTGTGTCCCCTCCCAGCCACAACTACCAAAGGCAACTCTGCCATGGACTTGGAGCCACATAGACACTCCGGGCTGTGTTTGAAACTTGTCACAGAGTTGTGCGGTCTGTCCATTTGTGTCTGGCTTCGTTCAGTCTTTGTTATGCTTAGGAGACTCGCCCGGCCTTTGGCCTGGAGCCACAGTTGCATCTTTTTCATCGCTGTGTTGTATTCCACTTCCTGCCATAACCCCAGCTCTTTGTTCACTCCATGACTAAGGAGTGTGGAATTGTTTCTGGCTTGGGGCTTTCGGCGATAATAGGAATATCTAGTCTGCATCTTCAGGTGAACGTGGGCATGCATTTCCGTGTTCCGTTGTTCTGGGTCTCTGCTGTGTAACCAAGTGTCCTGAACTTTTTAAAGTGCAGTGACTTGACAGCAGCCCTTGCATTCTCTCTCAGGGCCGTGTGGGCTGGCTGGGCTCAGCTGCGAGGTTCTTCTGCTCCTGTGACGCTGGCGGGGCAGCACTAAGCTGCAGGTTCCACTGGGCTGGATGTCCAGCATGGCTCACTCCAAAGACTGATCATTGGTATTGCTGGGAGCTCGGAGGGGCTGTTGACCAGAGCCTCCGTTTTCTGGTGGGACCCACCACGTGGCTTCCTGGGCAGCACAGGTGCCCTGTAGCTGACTGCCGTCCGCAAGGTGGGAGTTCACACCCACCCAGGGGTGCTGCAGAAGGCAGGCCCGGTTATCTGCTGCCGCCGTAGTGACAGCCAAAGCGCCCCAGGGGCAGTTCTAGCCCCTAACTCGTGGTCGCCTGACCCAGCGCAGACTCGATGGCAGTGCGTTTGTTTTTCGTTATGGCTTCTGACCGTGCCTGTGACTTTGGCCTTTATTTGCCTCCCTCGTGTGTCTGTGTCGTGACAAAGGTGGTGGGAAGAGGGGCTCACTGCTCTCCACGCAGCTCCCTAAGTGCAGCCCCCAAAACAGGAGGGGGTGGGAGGGGTGAGGTTAGGATGCTGAGTGCCAGCGGCCACCGGTGTGGCAGGCGACCGGTTACAGGTAACTAAGTCAGAGCCAGTGGCCCAGCGTTGCAAGGGTGGCTGTGCATCCAGGTGTGCCTGGGACAGGTGAATTTAGGCCTGTTGATGGGGCCCTATATCCAGTTTAGACTTCGTCTCGGACAAAGATGGGCAAAAACAGGAGTTTAAAAAAATGGCAAAAACAGGTACAGATTTTACCCGTACGTTTGATAATTGGAGACCGTCGTGGCTGCGACAACAGAGAACTGCTCCGGAAGGTTCTCTAGGCCCCAGCCTTCCCGAAGCACACTGCAGGGCCTCTCTCCTGCGGGTGGCTTCGAGCAGCCAGCGTTCTGGCTGGGAGTCGAGCGCTTAGCTGTCTGCGCCACCCAGGACTCCCCTTACAAGGATGTGGGTGTAATCTTATGTACACATTCTATAATGATAGATATATTGTCTATGCATGTCCTATGCTGATAAAGATGATAAACACAAGCTTACATAGAGTTCCTCTTGTTTAAGTTATTTCATTCCTTTGAACAACAAACAATGTGGCTAAAACAAACAGAGGCTTTTTTCCTGAAGCAAACCGAAAGGGTTCAGTTCACTTCAGTGGGTGAGCGTTCCATGGGTGCGGAAACCGGCCTGGGCTCGCGCCGGTGGGGAGCTCTGGGTGGCAGTGGCTGCCGCCCTGTCTGGGGTTTTGCTGTCTGCGGGAGGCACCAGCACCTCTTCTGTGAAGTGCACCTGGAGCTCGGTTCCAAGGCGGGTTCTGTGCTTCGGTACCTGGCCTCGGGGCCTGGACCACTCCCTGAGACCCCTCTGTCCCGAACACCAGTCGAAATCCCCCGTGTCAGCCCTCGGTTTTGAACAGACAGCATTTCTCGGAAAATTCACTGGCGCACGTGGGACCCCAGGCAGGCAGGCCTGGTTCCAGTATTTTCCCCGTGTTAGTTCACTGCATCCTTCCAGCCGATCGTACCTCTCGTCATCCCCATTCCACAGAAGGGGGCACTAAGGCAAAGAGGGGAAACCACTGCCTATAGTGGTGTGCAGGGTTGAGGTCAAAAGGGGGTGGAGGGGGTGCAGGGGCTCATCATGCTGGGAGAAGGGAGCAGAGTTAGGGGGCTGTCTTGGCTCTGCCCCAAGACGCTCTTAGGACTGGCTCCTTTGAGTCTTCCAGTTCCAGCTCAAATGTCACCTCCTTAGAGAGGCCACCCGACCACCCACGTGCACGACGCCCCTCCTCATCACACATGCTCACACGCCCATTTTGTTTGCTTTGCAGCGCACATCAATGTCTAAAATGGTGTGCTTAGTTAGGGCTCGGCTCCCCTCTGGGAAGCTGGCATCCTGGCCAGCTGGCTCCCGGTGGTCCCCCAGCCTGGCTCTAATGACAGGTTCCTACATCCTTGTTCAATGAGCAGACTTAACCCTGGAGCACGTCCAGAGAGCAGCAGGGGGACTGTGTCCCTAAAAGATAGGTTGAAGTCCTCACCCTGCACTTGTGAATGTGGCCTTGCTTGGAAACAGGGTCTTGGAAGGTGTTATCAGTCAACATGAGGTCATAGCAAAGTGGGTGGGTCCTGACGCCATTGGAGTGGTGGTCCTTATAAAAGAGGGGACAACACACAGAGACAGAGGGAGGCTGTCGTGTGACCACAGAGAGGTCTGAGAGATGAAGGGGTGGTGCAGGAGAGAGAAGAGGCCGACAGCCCCCTCACCTCACTCCCATCTCTAAGACTAGCAGACCCTTGACTAAGAGGAGGAGAGAAGGTGAGTGTTCAGGTTTCTATACTGAAGTGGCTTCATTAAACCAAAGCAAAGGGACTCTTCATATTGGCAAAGAATGATTGGAAAGCCATAACCACTCAGGGGCAGGATTTAGCTGGCCAGCAGAGTTTACAGGGGAGCACGGGGGGACGAGGGGAAGTCCTGGTTTGCTTGCTCTCTACAGA